GCGGCCTGACAGCACGTTTTTGTTGGCGCCGCGTGGCTCCTGTGCACCTCTGGAGCAGCTGAGCCCCAGCAGAGGAGGTTAGGGTTACTTCGCTAGGCTAGGATGGCGCTACAGCGTGTAAAAGCTGGCTTTCTCCTGCTAATTTTGGCTTGACGTGACCTGGCCCCAGCTCCAGTCCAGTTTCTTGGAAGGTGGGTTCCTGTGCAAAGTCTATTTCAGGAGTGCCTACTGTATAGAGCCAAACCTCTTGCAAATTTCCAAATGCTTGAGTTTTCAGAAATTCTGGCATAAATCTCTTGGCCACTGTGGGCAAAGACAGGCTTAGCATAAGAAATCATTCAAGTCGAGAACTGCTGTCTTGCTCTTGCTTTAGATGGAACTTGATTTTCTTTTTTTCTTTCAGAAATGCTTTCCATTTCCTTGATGGTGAGAGATGCCAGTCTTTTTCACGATACGGGTTCATAACTTCTTGAGCTTCAAAGATCAGCAAAGAACAGCTGATATAATTAAATAAGTTCCCTTCCGTCTGAGCTCTAGGTAAACTAACTGGAGATGAATCACTTCTTTCCTTTCTTTGGTGCTTGAGCAACGTTATTCTGGGAGGCCACAAAAGGTATAATAGGGTATATTTAGATATTTAGAAGTATGGTGTATCGTACGTACATCCCAAATATCAAGCAAACCTCGATGCAGTATCTGTGAAAGAATGATTTCTGCCCATTCCATTTTCTTAGGTCCTGCATATATCTCCAAAAGCTCATACATACCATATGGAGGTCTATGCCAGATTTATAGAAGCTGATGTAGATATACTAGGCTTGAGAAATTTCTGGAAAAGGTTGCAAATTCAGGTTGCAAATAGATATGATCTTTTGTGTCTGAGCTTCCCCCACCCCTCCATTTTATTTCCTTTTGGGGCAGTCTGTTATTCAATTGCCACATTAGACCCTGGAGGCCAAGAAAAGAGTTCTGCCTAGTTTCTAAACTTTCTTGAGGAAGTAGCCCAGATGCTTTCTCTCTGTATGTGACAGACTTGTCTCGTCTCACTGAAGTCCAGTCTGACACCTCTCTTTTGGTCTCTAGCAGGAGGAGCAGGCTGCTGTCACAGCAGATAGGATGGCTGAGTGATCCTGCTCTGTTCATCTTTCTGCAAGAGAAAACTCCAGGTGGGGCTTTTAGCTTTACCATGCTAATGAGTGGCAGCTTTGGAATGAACTACGAAATCCGTTTGCAACCCACTTAACAAATAATGATATCTGCTTATGGATATCAAAGCAAGCTGTTTGCTGGCGTTCAAAGACAGCTTTGTAAACATTAAATCTGATAGGTAAGGAAAATTACAAAGGAAACTGCTATATTGCATAGTTTTTTGTCCCTTACTTTCTCCCTCCATGTGTTTTGCTTGTGTATGCCATAAGGGAAAGCTTTAAGTGGGAAGGGTTATCATCCCTAGGTCAGCACTGCCTTAAGAGTCCTTGCTCAACAATGGAGACTTCCTGCCTGGGATATACCTCTGTTAAATCCGTATGCCTATAGTGCAGGTGCATGTGGCTGAATACGTGACTAGTCATAGAGACCTCCTCTTACAGTTAGTGAGCAGAAATAAGCACTCCTAGGGTATGAATCAGCTGATCAAATGCAGGTATTGGCTAGATCTCCATTAACTGGAAAGTGAGTCTGAGATGGTTTGTGCCACTGTAGGAAAGTTACTGAACTGCTTTGTGCTTCACTTTCCCGCAGCGAGTAGGGGTAACAGAGCTTCCCCAAAGCGCATGAGATGGTCATGGCTGTGAGTTGCTCAAGTACCTGAGAAACGTGGTCTAAATTAAGAGCGTATAAGGTAAATAAATACAGCAGATAGCGTGCTTGCAGTGTGGGCCCTGTGGAGAGAAGAGCGCAGAACACTGGCTCTCAGAGATGGGCGGTATGCTGATTTTTGCTTTGGTATGACGTTTCACTGATTTTAGGACAAAGGCAAACAAAATCAATATTTGGGTCAAGAAAAGAATCTTGAAAGTGTGTTTTTATTTGAGAAAAACTGTAAGGAGTTGAGGATAGGAATTCTGTCTCTAGTCTAACTATGGCTCTTCAGGAAGCTTCAGTTTGTTAGAAACACCTGTGGACTCATTCCCTTTCCCATGATTTTTGTTCTGAGTTGCCAGTCCAAGCAATTAAAGCTTAATCCGTTGTCATGGGGAGAATGGGATATTTGTGTATGAACCCACGTGTGCCGCATGTGATAACTTTACAGCCAAAACTCAAACTACGGCCCCAACAACCAGGGAGTTTCCTCCAGCTCACTAACGGTCCTGTCTAGTTGAGATAAGCTTTCTCTATTGCAAACTGTTGTTACAGAGCAAAACCACCAGTTTTGTGTTTGTGGAGAAGAAATTCTGCTTCCTATAGCATGATGTCTCCCAAGGTGTTACCTAAGCAGTAAACACTCCATTTAGTATGAGAGCAAAAGCCATGCGTAAAAGCTAGGACGTTGCTTGTGATAAGGGGTGAGGAAACATTTCAGTGTTGGGAACTACCCAGCCTGAACTAGAGATACTTAGCTTTGATTTA